AGCAGCTCTTGCTGGCCACCAACATGCTCTGCCCTGTGACCTGCAGCCTGGGGAAGTGGTGGCCGTGTGGTGCTCATGGCTCATCACGGGGATGCTGTCTCAGCAGCACAACTGAAGATGCCCCTCTGCGTGTCAGCGGCTGGTAGCTACACACAGCTCTTGGACATGTTGGTTGGGGTCCTACCACCTCCCTGGAGCACAAGGGAGTGCTTTGTCCCTGCCTGGCTGGTCCTTGGGAAGGTGGCTGGGTTCATTCCAGGTGTAGCGATAGCTCTGAGCTCCACAGGATGCTGGGGCTGGCTGCAGAGTAAAGATAACTAAAGTAACTAAGGAGGAAAGGCAGGCCATCCAAACTAAAGGTGGCTTGAGGATGGATCTGTGTATTCAGTCCTCCCCTCACCCTCTCTTTTTTCCTGCAGAAGGAATCACTCTCCATAAGGATGGTGGGCAAGGTAGGAATTTTAAATTCTGAGGGTAATTAGGAGAGACAATGGAGGACTTGACAAGGAGAGTGAGGTGCTGATGGGGTGTTTATCTGCCCTGTTTATGATTTCTTTATGATTTTTAGGTAGTGCTGGTCTTGTGCTGCAGCAAGGGAGAGGCTCTTCACTTCTAGATGTTCCACTGGACCTCTGGAAGGTGGCAGGCAGAGGCACAAATTTCTCTTCTCCAGCTGTTCTCTGGGACAGATGTTGAACGCAGCAACATGAGACTGGCTGCAGTTGGCCGGCAGCGTCTGTCTCATCCCGATGGGTGCACAAGCAGATGATTGCAGTGGTGTGGCCAGACTGCTTTCCAACAGTGAGCTCATGCAGCTCCAGAAACAACGGCATCTCTTCCAGTAAAAGCCTCCCTTGCTCTGCTTTCCTCACCCAGTGCTGGATGTCTCCATTCACTCTCAGCTTTCTCCTTGACAGATGTGTAGCATTTTGAGAGATAACAGATATTCTGAAAGCCCTCAGAGAAATCTTCTCTCTAGAAGGAAGCGCTCTGGCTTGCCCTACCGGGTTGCAATCCTCTTGGGACAACCCTACATGTCTCTTGTGCTGGTCTCCTCTTCCAGGTGGGTCTGGGAGCACCCCTGGTTTGCAGAGCCTCTCTACTCCTTGGCAAAAGCAAGGTGCCTGAGACACTTGGAGGGATGTGAAGAGAAAACTGTCCTGGCAGGTGCCGCTGTCTTGAAGAGCATGTCCTCTTGGCCAGCTGCTGTCTCTGGTCTGGTTCTTGCTGTGCTTCCTGCTGGTTTTGGAAACATCCCTACCAGTGAGGGGGTGTTCCTGCCTCAGCCCTTCATCTGTCTGTGGGCTGAAAGACCTGGCAGGTCATTCCCTCAGCTTGCCAGCATGTCAGAGCCTTGGCCTGTACCCAGCATCATCACAGCTGCACGTGGTCTTGCCAGCCCCCGGCTGCAGGGCTGGGCCACCGTGTGTTGGGCTGGGTGGGTTTGTGTGTGCAACCATGGGAGACCTCCAGGAGGAAGGCAAGGAGAGGTGGTCCATCAGAAGCTGGAGGTTTATTAGTGCCACAGCTATGAAAATGTGCATTTTAGGAGAAAAGCAAGATTTCTGTTGAAACTGGGGGTGCTGGAGGCTGTGGCTAGGCTTGGAGTGTGGGGCAGAAGCTGGCTGAGACCCCACCAGGAGGGGATGAAGAGCCACCAGGCTTGGGGAGCAGGCTGGGGGATGGCTGTCTTGCCCGTGCACAGCTGCTGTGCCTGCTCAGCGTGGGATGGAGACAGCTCTCGGGGTTAAGCGCTTGGAGCCGGGGGAGTTTCCTGTTGCTGCTGGGCAGGAGGAAAGTACTTGCAGCTGCGGAGGGGAGTGGTGCTGGAGTGGGAGAGGAGGATGGCTGGCTGCGAGGAGATGTGGCTCTGCTGAGCCAGCACCTCCCAGTGACAGGGCTGGAGGGGGAGCAAGTGACCCCAGTCCTTGCCCTGGCAGCTGCTGCGGTGGCGCTTGGAGCCGGGGGAGTTTCCTGTTGCTGCTGGGCAGGAGGAAAGTACTTGCAGCTGCGGAGGGGAGTGGTGCTGGAGTGGGAGAGGAGGATGGCTGGCTGCGAGGAGATGTGGCTCTGCTGAGCCAGCACCTCCCAGTGACAGGGCTGGAGGGGGAGCAAGTGACCCCAGTCCTTGCCCTGGCAGCTGCTGCGGTGGCCCTGTCCTGACTTGTGTCAGTGCCAGGGGATAACCATGCCCCGGAGCAGCGTGGTGGCCCCAGGCTCCAGCAACGGTGCAGCTGGGCTGGGTCCCTCTCGCAAGCTGATGGAGAAGCAAAGGCACGGTGTGTGTGGCACCAAGGTAACACTTTAGTCACGGCACTAGATGAGACCACTCCCTGGGGAAGAGGGTCTTGGTGATGTCCGTGCCCTCGAGTTCCTCCGCCCAAGGCTGGACTGACTGGGATGTCCCTGCTGCGATGGAGCAAGTGACTGAGCTGGGAGCACCTGCTTGCCTTGTGGAGGTGTCTGGCGAGGAGTCTGGCCAGCGCAGTGTGTCTGGCCACAGCTGCCTTGAGTGTGGAGCTGGTGCTTGAACAGGAGCCTGGGATCCAGCAGATCTGACCTAGCTGCTGAGAGGGTCCTGCTAGGACCGAGCCTCTGCAGACTTGCACGCCTTCCCCCTGCAGGAAGCATCAAAAGAGGAGGGGCTCGAACAGCCCCAAGCATGAGCTCAGGGACCTTGGTTACTGGCATCACAGCCCTTGTGGTCGTGGAGGGAGGACTTGGTCATTGCAGGCAGCTGTGTTTTCTGGGAGGAATGTGCTGCTTGACCCCTCCAGCTCCTGTAAGGAGGCTGCAGTGTCAAGGTCTTGGCCGTTTGCTGCATGTGTCTGTATAAAGGAATGAATGCAAAGCCAGAGGCTTTACACCTCTGTTGGGTGCCAAACTTCTGTTTCTTACGGGGTAAAAGGAGTAGGGCTTGAAGGGACTCACAGAGGATGTGCCTAGCTTGGAGAGTAATCCAAGGGCTGTCACTGAGTCTTGGTGTCCTGGTCTTCACCTCTGTCTCTTTTGAAGACCTGTGTGCAGCTTCCAGGGGTCTCGTGCAGCTGGGCTGGGGACACAGCTCTACATGTCCATTTCAGGATAACCTGGCAGCAAGACTTGTGTTGCATGTACCATCCAGCGCATCGGTCAGGCAGCCTGCTGGCTGCTAGGTAGTTAGAAAACACCTACCTCCTGTCCCCTCTCATTGCCAGCTGTCATCTCAACTTGGAGTGGCTTTCTTCATGTCTCTTGCATGCTCAGAGACATGATTCTGGCAAGATCCCTTCTAGAAGGAAGCTGACAGAATGACCCTGGCTGGCATGGCAGTAGTGCATCAGCCGTGTCAGGGTTAGATGAGCTCCAAAGCCCCTGCCAAACTTGATGCTTTGGCTGTGACTGCAACTCTTCCTTTACCCAACTGACCTGGGACCTTGGCCAAGGATAGGCAGACTTCCTTCAAGGAAGGGTCCCTCTTAGTGGGAGAGTGCCATGCACAGGGGTTGGGAGTACTGGGAATACTGGTTTGTTTTGGGTTTTTCCCCTTTGTCCCTGGAATGATTTTGAAAGCATCTGGCCAGGCTTGGTCAAGCACAGGGACAACCTTGCCAGGATAGTCTGGCATGGGGAACAGTTCACGCTGGGCTCTAGGGGGTTTTCTGTCTCTTTTCTACCCATCTTAGAGCAAAGTCCCCTGTTCTGCTGGTACCCAGAGCCCTGGATGTACCTGCTGCTCTTGATGCCTGTCTGCATGGAGGCTGTGCTCTCCTCCTGCCAGCTGGGGAGGGAGGACAGGGGTGATGGCCCCAGTGTTTCTGCTCCCTTTGCAAACAGCAGCAGGACCAGGCTCTGCTAGCTGCTCCTGATGCTGGATCTGTGCTCAGTCAAGTGGCACAGACTCATCTCCTGCTGTTCTTGGGCATGAAGCTGCTGGCTCAGCCCAGCCTGATCTTGCAGACCAAACAGGAGCATCTGGATGTCCTGGACATTGCCAGCTTGCTGCATCTACTGACAAGCTGGAAAATGCCTGTTCAGTTACTGTTCCCGTGTCTGCTTGTTGGGTCCCCATCCAGCAGTCCTTCCTTGGCAAGGAGCAGCCCTGAGCAGTAGATGTAGCAGCAATGACCTGCTGGGGAAGCCTCCAAGTCTTGCTGGTTTGCAGCTCTACCAGGCTCTCCCCATGATGTGGTCTGCCTGGAGCCTTTTCTGCCGGGAGCCTGTTCCGATGGCTGGGTTGTGGCTTAGGAAACGTCATGGGTCTCTTGTGTGGTGGATGAGCCAGTCCTTTCCCTGTACATGTCATGTAGAAATTGTCTGGTTTAAATGTGTGGTCTTGAGATGCCTCCTTCTGCTGGTTGAGGGCAGCAGCCCAAGGCAGTGGCCGCTCTACGTGCCCAAGGTGAGCCTCATCTGCCCTGCCTGGGCCTGAGTGAGGGGGAAGATGTGAACTTGGGGTGTGTGGGGGAGTGGGAGTGTGCTGGGGTGAACAGCCCCTCCTTGCGCACGTTTCTGCAGTGGTAAACTTCATGGATAGCTTGGTGGTGAGGAGCTTTCCTAGCTTGAACAGTGGTGTTCTGCGTGTTGTAGTGAGCTGGGGCCAGCTGTGGATGTGAATTCGGGGGCTGTCTTCTGGTTATGGTAATAGGCAGAAAGTACTTGAGATGTCGAGGCGAGCCCTGAGATGGGGTGCTACCTTTCTTCTTAGATGTGTGGGATCCTGTTGTGCTCCTTAAGGGAGAACCTGGTCAGGTCCCAGTGCCAGGTGAGCCTGAGTCTGACCTTGTGTGAGCCACCAGAGCCGGCCAGCGTGGGGCCGGCACACTGGGTAGTGCTGGCACCGTGCAGCCCCAGGTTGGGGTGCTACTTGAGTAGTATTTGAGGCTCGCCCAGGAGGCTCCTTTCCCATGCTGGAGGTCTCTGCTCAGTGTACCTCATACGTAGCCTGCAGGAGCTGAAGGTTTGGGATCTGGTTGAGACAATCCTGGATCACGGACCTCTGGTGTGGCTTTCTTTTCCAGATGCGCTGGTATCCTCCCTCCGAAGCTACTCAGCAAGGATGGAAGTCTCGTCAGTTTTGTTAGTTCATTAGTAAGTAATTACTCTTGGAGCTGGGTCCTTGTCTTGGTTGTCCCTGGGCTCCTTGGGCTCTTGTGGGGAGGAGGGGCAGGAGCTCAGGCTCAGCCCTGCACATCCGCCAAAGGATGAGGTTGGGTTATATTGATGGGTGATGGGGCCAAATCCACCCTGGGGGGAGCAGGGAGACCCACCAAGCCACCCTCACCACCGCTCCTCTCCTGCAGAGTCTCTCCTCGGCTTGTGTTCCTCCTCCTTGCCTCTCTGCGGAGGGATGTGCCAGGGACGATTGCTCCGACTCCTCTTGGTTTGGTTTGCGGCCAGCGGACAAGGCGCCTGGCCCCGGCGCATCCCCCCCGGGGCTGCCAGCATCCCCCCTCCCTGGACTGTGAAGCTGCCGCGGCCCCCTGCCGCGGGCCGTGCGCCGCATCCATCCATCCATCCCTCCTCCATCCCCAGGACATCCTCCCCGATTGAGCTTTGCCGTCTGGCTGTGCCGAAACTCAGCCGAGGGGGCTCGGTCCTGGGCTTCCCCAGGCTCGCCCTGTCCCGGCAGCTCTGAAGGAAATGAAAGGCAATGGGTTTTGCATGTTTTCTGGCATGAATTAAAACACTTAACTTGTGTATGTGTGAGTGTAAGTTTGTTTGTTCTAGCGTTTGTGTAACCGTTAGCAACAGGTCTTGGCCCAACGGATTGATCCATCAAGGTTTTCATCTTGCTTCGGTGAAGACTTGGCTTTGAGAAATACTAACTGTCCTTGTCTCACCCCTTCTCCCACCTCCACCCTCCCCTTCCCAGTATGACCAGAAGAATTTGAATTTTTTTTTTCCAAGTACAATGCACTGGGTTTCTGTTCTCATCCATTCTTCTCTGGTTTTAAAGTCAGGGTTATTATATTTCTTTTTTCTTCTTCAGACTTTATATATAGAACGGCTGTAAAATATCTAACCTCTTTTTCTTTTTTCCACATCCTTCTGATTGGAGAGCATCCAGTCCTGCCAAATAATCAGCCATCCTTATGGGAATACCGAACAACAAAAAAAAAAAGTACGAGTATTTTTGTACCATGTGTAATAAGGAAATATTTATGCATCATAAAGAATTTCTTGTGTGTTTGTGTGCAATTAATTATTATTATTATTATTAAAGAGAAATTGTAATCCTGTAAGATAAGTTAATGTTTAGTTAAAAGCTTGAAAGAGAAGGGTTGTCTTCTGTAACAATGATTCAGTCAGGCATAGTAAACAAGAAATTGTGCAATTTTTGTTTTAGCATCTTATTGCTTGGTATTGAAGTGCTTTAAGTATTATACGACCATGGCTGTCTCGCTTGTATTAAAAGATTTGAGAATAAGTTGCTATATAATTGCTGATCCTATGAGAATGTGAAACTGGATAATATATGAAATGCAACGAAAAAAAAAAAAAAAACCAAAAAAAATATACCCAGAGGCTGCTGTGACTCTTTTTCTGTGGTGTCTTGTGTTTTCTTTGGGGGTGGTGTTGGGATACTTTGGGCTTGGTGGTACCTGTGCCTCTTCCCTGCCCTTCCTCCAGGGATGCAGGCTGCTCGGGGATGCTCCTGAGGGGCCTTAGGGCATCTTCATCCCTTGGAGCTGGGTGTGCAATGTGGTGGCTGTTGATGCTGAGGTCTTCTGGAGGCCTCACTGAGGGCAACTATGAGCTTTTTTTGGGTGTTTTTATTTCCCCTCCTCCCCTACTTGCAGAGGCTGAGGGCCTCTCCTCCGTGCCAGCGCTGTTCTGCGCAGAGATGTCCATAGAAGGCAAACGTCCTCTGCAGCCACAGCATCGCCCCGCGCCTGCCCACATCTCCTCCTCGGCGGCGTGCCCTGGCCCATGGCGTCTTGTAGCCTTATCTGTACCTGCAAAAACAGCCCTGGGAACTGCAGCCGGGGGGCAGGGGGTGGCTGTCGGCGTGGCGTGAACGTGGGGCTGGATGTTACACCGGGAGCTGCCTGGGGATGTGCTGCTTAAATCCCCATGGGGTGGCCTGGGGGGTCTCTGGGGCTGGACTGGGTGAGTCCCTGTGCTGGGGTGCTCCTGCAGCCCTCCCACGCAGCTTCCCAACCCCCCCCCATCAGTGTTTTCCTCCCTTCCCCAGGGCTTCGAGGGCAGCGCTGAGCAAAGGCAAGGAGGAGGGGAAGAAAAAAAAAAAATTAAGAAAAAGCAAAAGGCAGGTCTAAAAATAGCTCCGCTGGCCACCGCGCCTGGGAACGGGCTCGGCTGAGCTCTGCTGCTCCGGGAAGTGACTCGCTGTGGGGCCACGGGCTGCCCCAGCCGGAGCAGCCCTGCCAGCCCCTTCCCTACCGAATCCCCCCACCCGCAGACCAGGCAAAGCTTCCTCCTGCCTGCATCCCAGCTCCTGCCTGCATCCTGGCTCCAGCCTGAATCCAGCTCCTGCTGGGCCCGCTCTCGCCTGCCAGCTCCGTCTGCATCTCGCAGCTCTGATCACCTAAGCGGAAACACCCTGGAGAGCAGTCGGGGCCGGGTGATGGGAGTGTGCAGGGCTTTAAATTATAGAGGAGAGTTTTGGTTTTTTTTTAAAAAAAAGCCTTTAGCACATGCATTAACATGGCCAGGCAATGAATAATTTATGTCCGGCTCTATTAAGCTTTTACACTGGGACCTGCACAACGCGTCTTGCCTCGGAGCTAAAGTAGGTCATGTCTGCTCCAAGGGTCCCCGGGCGTCCCCCTCCCTGGCCGGTGCGAGCGCGGCGCAGGCGTGCGTACACACACGTGTGTGCTTGCTGCCTCTGTCCGTCCGTGTTTGCTCGCGCATGTGTGCAACGCCCCTGCCCTGCTGCATTTGTGCAAAGCCATAGTTATGTTTTTTAACCTGACCCCACCTTCCCAGGATGCTCCCATTTGTGTCCTGCTCAAGGGGACACTCTCTGGGCAGTGATTTGGGGACAGGGAATGTCCCCCATCTGTGGGTAGGATGAGGCTCTAGGGTGCAGAGCGGCTCGGGATGTGGCACAGCCTGACGGCATCCCTGGGAAAACGGGCGCAGGTTCCTGGCACCCAGGTCCCTCGGTGGACCTCTGGGGCAGTGGCTGTAGGAGAACGAGGCCAGAGAAGAGGTGGGTGCGTTGGGGCTGGGAAAAGAAGGAATAGGGAAAAAAGGTTGGTTTTGGCACACTTTCATTTTACACTTACTGGAAACTCCCCCTCTTCTTTCCTTTGTTTTGAAGGTGGGGCAATAAATAAATCAATCTGGGAGCTTTCAGACCATTTTCTCCTGAAAACGCTGTGCTCCGCCTCGCCGTGTGCTCCAGGTGCTGCAGCAAGGAGCACTTTGGAAACAGAAAATCCAGCTGCTCTGATGCAAAAAGGCCCCTCATCACGGCTGTGCTGGCCAACCTTCCATGGATCTGGCTTGGCTCCCCATTTGAACCAGTTGGACACACTTGCAGCAGGCCAGGGCATCTTCGTGGGAAGCCCAGATGCAAAACTCAATCCTGCTTGAAACCAGAGATGTAGGAAAGGGGACAGGTTGTCTCACACCTGCATCCATCCAGGGACCTGCCAGTCGCAAGGGACAGCAGAGCTCCTGTCTCCGAGGCCAGGAGCACCTCATGGCACTGATGCTCTCCCCGTGGTCCTTCGCTGACGATTGAGGGTACCCGGGTGCAGCTCAGTCACGCCGGTTGCATGACCTGGTGCCTTCAGTCCATTTTTTTGTGGCAAATGCTGATGAAGAGCGATTCAAACAGCTTCTGCAAAGGATCAAAATGGCTCTTGCAAACCCCAGCAACTTCCATCTGCTGGTCTGCACCGGCAGCGCAGGGGGGAGAAAGTCTGTCTCCATCGCCTTTCCCCAAGGCATCCTTTCTTGCTGGCGCTGAAGGTTTCATGGTTGAAGACCCTTTTGATCTCAGGCTGGAGGACAACTCTCCTGAGTCTCCAAGGACAGAGGCAGGGGTGTCTCCAAACCTGAGCTCTGCCCCCACTGCTGTTTCTCCATCTTTACTTCCAGTCCTGTTGGTGGCCTCCGTCCTGCAGTTAAACTCTACCCAGCTGGTCAGAAAGCCAAACTCCACGGGACCACTGATGTTCTCCCAGTTGTTCGTATGTTTGGCAGGCATCAATGGCCACAACTACAAGGAGATGTCTCAGATGGCCCCAGAGCCATGATGCATCAGGACCTGCCAAATTTTCTGGCTTTAGAAGCTACTGCTCCCAGCCAGCTTCCAAGAAGCTGCAGCTCATGTGACGTTGCTGGGATTTCCCTGGCAAATGTGCATGGACCAGCCCTGTGGGGGATGAGGAGCCAGTCTGCTGCGGCCAGGGAGCATCGCACAGACCGGCTTTGCAGAGCCCCAGCCCAGCTGTGGCACGTGGCCAGATAAAATGAGTGGCCAAGCAGCTTGATGAGGGATGAACTTGGTAGCGCACCTCTGGAAGAGGCAGGATGGGCTGGCGGGTGTACAAGGAGGCTTACCCAGGCCAGAAAACTCACTGGGAGGGCAGAAAGAGCTGGGAAATGATGGAGAACAAGCAGGGAGGAGAGAGCACTCTGTCTGCTCCTTATCTCATGTTTCCTTATCGCACAGTGCCCCTCTCATGAGTTTGGCTCACCTGCTTGGCTCAGATATCGCCATACTGACCTATAGCTCCAAAAATACCTTTGCTCTCCCCCTGCCAACCACCCACTTAAATTATTCCCCAACCCAGCAAGAAGTCTGTAGTGACTTGGAAATAGCATCCTAAAAACCCAAACAGCAAGCACGGAAAGACACGGGTGATATGTAAGAGACTGCATGGGGGTCATAAAATTTTGTAGGGACAAAATACCCCGTGCACAATATCTCCTGGTGAAAGGGGAGAAGATCAGAGCCCAGAGGGGCTTTGGGAGCCAAGGTGCTGCTGCGATGGGGTCCTGCACAAAAGCCTGGGCAAGTGGGTGGCTTTGTTATTTCTGACAGTATGATGGGAAAGGGCCCCCGGTCTGCACGGAGTGAGTCCCAGCGCCTTACCGAGATGCA